TCTTCCTCTACTCGGATTTGGCTGTCGATTTTTTTCTACACTTTTAGGTGTATTTTGTGCAAGAATATGCAATAAAATCGTCCGCCTAAGAAAAATTGAATTTTTTTGGTAATTTTTTTTTGGACCTGGATGACTTTTTGGTGAAAATAGAGGTCTTCCTCTACTCGGATTTAGCTGTCGATTTTTTTCTACACTTTTAGGTGTATTTTGTGCAGGAATATGCAATAAAATCGTCCGCCTAAGAAAAATTGAATTTTTTGGAATTTTTTTTTGGACCTGGATGACTTTTTGGTGAAAATAGAGGTCTTCCTCTACTCGGATTTGGCTGTCGATTTTTTTCTACACTTTTAGGTGTATTTTGTGCAAGAATATGGAATAAAATCGTCCGCCTAAGAAAAATTGAATTTTTTTGGAAATTTTTTTTTGGACCTGGATGACTTTTTGGTGAAAATAGAGGTCTTCCTCTACTCGGATTTGGCTGTCGATTTTTTTCTACACTTTTAGGTGTATTTTGTGCAAGAATATGCAATAAAATCGTCCGCCTAAGAAGAATTGAATTTTTTTGGAAATTTTTTTTTGGACCTGGATGACTTTTTGGTGAAAATAGAGGTCTTCCTCTACTCGGATTTGGCTGTCGATTTTTTTCTACACTTTTAGGTGTATTTTGTTCAAGAATATGGAATAAAATCGTCCGCCTAAGAAAAATTGAATTTTTTTGGAAATTTTTTTTTGGACCTGGATGACTTTTTGGTGAAAAAAGAGGTCTTCCTCTACTCGGATTTGGCTGTCGATTTTTTCTACACTTTTAGGTGTATTTTGTGCAAGAATATGGAAAAAAATCGTCCGCCTAAGAAAAATTGAATTTTTTTGGAAATTTTTTTTTGGACCTGGATGACTTTTTGGTGAAAATAGAGGTCTTTCTCTACTCGGATTTGGCTGTCGATTTTTTTCTACACTTTTAGGTGTATTTTGTGCTAGAATATGCAATAAAATCGTCCGCCTAAGAAAAATTGAATTTTTTTGGAATTATTTTTTTGGACCTGGATGACTTTTTGGTGAAAATAGAGGTCTTCCTCTACTCGGATTTGGCTGTCGATTTTTTTCTACACTTTTAGGTGTATTTTGTGCTAGAATATGCAATAAAATCGTCCGCCTAAGAAAAATTGAATTTTTTTGGAAATTTTTTTTTGGACCTGGATGACTTTTTGGTGAAAATAGAGGTCTTCCTCTACTCGGATTTGGCTGTCGATTTTTTTCTACACTTTTAGGTGTATTTTGTGCAAGAATATGGAGTAAAATCGTCCGCCTAAGAAAAATTGAATTTTTTTGGAAATTTTTTTTTGGACCTGGATGACTTTTTGGTGAAAATAGAGGTCTTACTCTACTCGGATTTGGCTGTCGATTTTTTTCTACACTTTTAGGTGTATTTTGTGCAAGAATATGCAATAAAATCGTCCGCCTAAGAAAAATTGAATTTTTTTGGAATTATTTTTTTGGACTTGGATGACTTTTTGGTGAAAATAGAGGTCTTCCTCTACTCGGATTTGGCTGTCGATTTTTTTCTACACTTTTAGGTGTATTTTGTGCAAGAATATGCAATAAAATCGTCCGCCTAAGAAAAATTGAATTTTTTTGGAGTTATTTTTATGGACCTGGATGACTTTTTGGTGAAAATAGAGGTCTTCCTCTACTCGGATTTGGCTGTCGATTTTTTTCTACACTTTTAGGTGTATTTTGTGCAAGAATATGGAATAAAATCGTCCGCCTAAGAAAAATTGAATTTTTTTGGAAATTTTTTTTTGGACCTGGATGACTTTTTGGTGAAAATAGAGGTCTTCCTCTACTCGGATTTGGCTGTCGATTTTTTTCTACACTTTTAGGTGTATTTTGTGCAAGAATATGCAATAAAATCGTCCGCCTAAGAAGAATTGAATTTTTTTGGAAATTTTTTTTTGGACCTGGATGACTTTTTGGTGAAAATAGAGGTCTTCCTCTACTCGGATTTGGCTGTCGATTTTTTTCTACACTTTTAGGTGTATTTTGTGCTAGAATATGCAATAAAATCGTCCGCCTAAGAAAAATTGAATTTTTTTGGAAATTTTTTTTTGGACCTGGATGACTTTTTGGTGAAAATAGAGGTCTTCCTCTACTCGGATTTGGCTGTCGATTTTTTTCTACACTTTTAGGTGTATTTTGTGCAAGAATATGGAGTAAAATCGTCCGCCTAAGAAAAATTGAATTTTTTTGGAAATTTTTTTTTGGACCTGGATGACTTTTTGGTGAAAATAGAGGTCTTACTCTACTCGGATTTGGCTGTCGATTTTTTTCTACACTTTTAGGTGTATTTTGTGCAAGAATATGCAATAAAATCGTCCGCCTAAGAAAAATTGAATTTTTTTGGAATTATTTTTTTGGACTTGGATGACTTTTTGGTGAAAATAGAGGTCTTCCTCTACTCGGATTTGGCTGTCGATTTTTTTCTACACTTTTAGGTGTATTTTGTGCAAGAATATGCAATAAAATCGTCCGCCTAAGAAAAATTGAATTTTTTTGGAGTTATTTTTATGGACCTGGATGACTTTTTGGTGAAAATAGAGGTCTTCCTCTACTCGGATTTGGCTGTCGATTTTTTTCTACACTTTTAGGTGTATTTTGTGCAAGAATATGGAATAAAATCGTCCGCCTAAGAAAAATTGAATTTTTTTGGAAATTTTTTTTTGGACTTGGATGACTTTTTGGTGAAAATAGAGGTCTTTCTCTACTCGGATTTGGCTGTCGATTTTTTTCTACACTTTTAGGTGTATTTTGTGCAAGAATATGCAATAAAATCGTCCGCCTAAGAAAAATTGAATTTTTTTGGAAATTTTTTTTTGGACCTGGATGACTTTTTGGTGAAAATAGAGGTCTTCCTCTACTCGGATTTGGCTGTCGATTTTTTTCTACACTTTTAGGTGTATTTTGTGCAAGAATATGCAATAAAATCGTCCGCCTAAGAAGAATTGAATTTTTTTGGAAATTTTTTTTTGGACCTGGATGACTTTTTGGTGAAAATAGAGGTCTTCCTCTACTCGGATTTGGCTGTCGATTTTTTTCTACACTTTTAGGTGTATTTTGTGCAAGAATATGGAATAAAATCGTCCGCCTGAGAAAAATTGAATTTTTTTGGAAATTTCTTTTTGGACCTGGATGACTTTTTGGTGAAAATAGAGGTCTTCCTCTACTCGGATTTGGCTGTCGATTTTTTCTACACTTTTAGGTGTATTTTGTGCAAGAATATGGAAAAAAATCGTCCGCCTAAGAAAAATTGAATTTTTTTGGAAATTTTTTTTTGGACCTGGATGACTTTTTGGTGAAAATAGAGGTCTTCCTCTACTCGGATTTGGCTGTCGATTTTTTTCTACACTTTTAGGTGTATTTTGTGCTAGAATATGCAATAAAATCGTCCGCCTAAGAAAAATTGAATTTTTTTGGAATTATTTTTTTGGACCTGGATGACTTTTTGGTGAAAATAGAGGTCTTCCTCTACTCGGATTTGGCTGTCGATTTTTTTCTACACTTTTAGGTGTATTTTGTGCAAGAATATGCAATAAAATCGTCCGCCTAAGAAAAATTGAATTTTTTTGGAAATTTTTTTTTGGACCTGGATGACTTTTTGGTGAAAATAGAGGTCTTCCTCTACTCGGATTTGGCTGTCGATTTTTTTCTACACTTTTAGGTGTATTTTGTGCTAGAATATGCAATAAAATCGTCCGCCTAAGAAAAATTGAATTTTTTTGGAATTATTTTTTTGGACCTGGATGACTTTTTGGTGAAAATAGAGGTCTTCCTCTACTCGGATTTGGCTGTCGATTTTTTTCTACACTTTTAGGTGTATTTTGTGCTAGAATATGCAATAAAATCGTCCGCCTAAGAAAAATTGAATTTTTTTGGAAATTTTTTTTTGGACCTGGATGACTTTTTGGTGAAAATAGAGGTCTTCCTCTACTCGGATTTGGCTGTCGATTTTTTTCTACACTTTTAGGTGTATTTTGTGCAAGAATATGGAGTAAAATCGTCCGCCTAAGAAAAATTGAATTTTTTTGGAAATTTTTTTTTGGACCTGGATGACTTTTTGGTGAAAATAGAGGTCTTACTCTACTCGGATTTGGCTGTCGATTTTTTTCTACACTTTTAGGTGTATTTTGTGCAAGAATATGCAATAAAATCGTCCGCCTAAGAAAAATTGAATTTTTTTGGAATTATTTTTTTGGACTTGGATGACTTTTTGGTGAAAATAGAGGTCTTCCTCTACTCGGATTTGGCTGTCGATTTTTTTCTACACTTTTAGGTGTATTTTGTGCAAGAATATGCAATAAAATCGTCCGCCTAAGAAGAATTGAATTTTTTTGGAAATTTTTTTTTGGACCTGGATGACTTTTTGGTGAAAATAGAGGTCTTCCTCTACTCGGATTTGGCTGTCGATTTTTTTCTACACTTTTAGGTGTATTTTGTGCAAGAATATGGAATAAAATCGTCCGCCTAAGAAAAATTGAATTTTTTTGGAAATTTCTTTTTGGACCTGGATGACTTTTTGGTGAAAATAGAGGTCTTCCTCTACTCGGATTTGGCTGTCAATTTTTTTCTACACTTTTAGGTGTATTTTGTGCAAGAATATGCAATAAAATCGTTCGCCTAAGAAAAATTGAATTTTTTTGGAAATTTTTTTTTGGACCTGGATGACTTTTTGGTGAAAATAGAGGTCTTCCTCTACTCGGATTTGGCTGTCGATTTTTTTCTACACTTTTAGGTGTATTTTGTGCAAGAATATGGAATAAAATCGTCCGCCTAAGAAAAATTGAATTTTTTTGGAAATTTTTTTTTGGACCTGGATGACTTTTTGGTGAAAATAGAGGTCTTCCTCTACTCGGATTTGGCTGTCGATTTTTTTCTACACTTTTAGGTGTATTTTGTGCAAGAATATGGAATAAAATCGTCCGCCTAAGAAAAATTGAATTTTTTTGGAAATTTTTTTTTGGACCTGGATGACTTTTTGGTGAAAATAGAGGTCTTCCTCTACTCGGATTTGGCTGTCGATTTTTTCTACACTTTTAGGTGTATTTTGTGCAAGAATATGGAAAAAAATCGTCCGCCTAAGAAAAATTGAATTTTTTTGGAAATTTTTTTTTGGACCTGGATGACTTTTTGGTGAAAATAGAGGTCTTCCTCTACTCGGATTTGGCTGTCGATTTTTTTCTACACTTTTAGGTGTATTTTGTGCAAGAATATGCAATAAAATCGTTCGCCTAAGAAAAATTGAATTTTTTTGGAAATTTTTTTTTGGACCTGGATGACTTTTTGGTGAAAATAGAGGTCTTCCTCTACTCGGATTTGGCTGTCGATTTTTTTCTACACTTTTAGGTGTATTTTGTGCAAGAATATGGAATAAAATCGTCCGCCTAAGAAAAATTGAATTTTTTTGGAAATTTTTTTTTGGACCTGGATGACTTTTTGGTGAAAATAGAGGTCTTCCTCTACTCGGATTTGGCTGTCGATTTTTTTCTACACTTTTAGGTGTATTTTGTGCAAGAATATGGAATAAAATCGTCCGCCTAAGAAAAATTGAATTTTTTTGGAATTATTTTTTTGGACCTGGATGACTTTTTGGTGAAAATAGAGGTCTTCCTCTACTCGGATTTGGCTGTCGATTTTTTTCTACACTTTTAGGTGTATTTTGTGCAAGAATATGCAATAAAATCGTCCGCCTAAGAAAAATTGAATTTTTTTGGAAATTTTTTTTTGGACCTGGATGACTTTTTGGTGAAAATAGAGGTCTTCCTCTACTCGGATTTGGCTGTCGATTTTTTTCTACACTTTTAGGTGTATTTTGTGCAAGAATATGGAATAAAATCGTCCGCCTAAGAAAAATTGAATTTTTTTGGAAATTTTTTTTTGGACTTGGATGACTTTTTGGTGAAAATAGAGGTCTTTCTCTACTCGGATTTGGCTGTAGATTTTTTTTTACACTTTAAGGTGTATTTTGTGCAAGAATATGGAATAAAATCGTCCGCCTAAGAAAAATTGAATTTTTTTGGAAATTTTTTTTTGGACCTGGATGACTTTTTGGTGAAAATAGAGGTCTTCCTCTACTCGGATTTGGCTGTCGATTTTTTTCTACACTTTTAGGTGTATTTTGTGCAAGAATATGCAATAAAATCGTCCGCCTAAGAAAAATTGAATTTTTTTGGAAATTTTTTTTTGGACCTGGATGACTTTTTGGTGAAAATAGAGGTCTTCCTCTACTCGGATTTGGCTGTCGATTTTTTTCTACACTTTTAGGTGTATTTTGTGCAAGAATATGGAATAAAATCGTCCGCCTAAGAAAAATTGAATTTTTTTGGAAATTTTTTTTTGGACCTGGATGACTTTTTGGTGAAAATAGAGGTCTTCCTCTACTCGGATTTGGCTGTCGATTTTTTTCTACACTTTTAGGTGTATTTTGTGCAAGAATATGGAATAAAATCGTCCGCCTAAGAAAAATTGAATTTTTTTGGAAATTTTTTTTTGGACCTGGATGACTTTTTGGTGAAAATAGAGGTCTTCCTCTACTCGGATTTGGCTGTCGATTTTTTTCTACACTTTTAGGTGTATTTTGTGCAAGAATATGGAAAAAAATCGTCCGCCTAAGAAAAATTGAATTTTTTTGGAAATTTTTTTTTGGACCTGGATGACTTTTTGGTGAAAATAGAGGTCTTCCTCTACTCGGATTTGGCTGTCGATTTTTTTCTACACTTTTAGGTGTATTTTGTGCAAGAATATGCAATAAAATCGTCCGCCTAAGAAAAATTGAATTTTTTTGGAAATTTTTTTTTGGACCTGGATGACTTTTTGGTGAAAATAGAGGTCTTCCTCTACTCGGATTTGGCTGTCGATTTTTTTCTACACTTTTAGGTGTATTTTGTGCAAGAATATGGAATAAAATCGTCCGCCTAAGAAAAATTGAATTTTTTTGGAAATTTTTTTTTGGACCTGGATGACTTTTTGGTGAAAATAGAGGTCTTCCTCTACTCGGATTTGGCTGTCGATTTTTTTCTACACTTTTAGGTGTATTTTGTGCAAGAATATGGAAAAAAATCGTCCGCCTAAGAAAAATTGAATTTTTTTGGAAATTTTTTTTTGGACCTGGATGACTTTTTGGTGAAAATAGAGGTCTTCCTCTACTCGGATTTGGCTGTCGATTTTTTTCTACACTTTTAGGTGTATTTTGTGCAAGAATATGGAAAAAAATCGTCCGCCTAAGAAAAATTGAATTTTTTTGGAAATTTTTTTTTGGACCTGGATGACTTTTTGGTGAAAATAGAGGTCTTCCTCTACTCGGATTTGGCTGTCGATTTTTTTCTACACTTTTAGGTGTATTTTGTGCAAGAATATGGAATAAAATCGTCCGCCTAAGAAAAATTGAATTTTTTTGGAAATTTTTTTTTGGACCTGGATGACTTTTTGGTGAAAATAGAGGTCTTCCTCTACTCGGATTTGGCTGTCGATTTTTTTCTACACTTTTAGGTGTATTTTGTGCAAGAATATGGAATAAAATCGTCCGCCTAAGAAAAATTGAATTTTTTTGGAAATTTTTTTTTGGACCTGGATGACTTTTTGGTGAAAATAGAGGTCTTCCTCTACTCGGATTTGGCTGTCGATTTTTTCTACACTTTTAGGTGTATTTTGTGCAAGAATATGGAAAAAAATCGTCCGCCTAAGAAAAATTGAATTTTTTTGGAAATTTTTTTTTGGACCTGGATGACTTTTTGGTGAAAATAGAGGTCTTCCTCTACTCGGATTTGGCTGTCGATTTTTTTCTACACTTTTAGGTGTATTTTGTGCAAGAATATGCAATAAAATCGTCCGCCTAAGAAAAATTGAATTTTTTTGGAATTTTTTTTTGGACCTGGATGACTTTTTGGTGAAAATAGAGGTCTTCCTCTACTCGGATTTGGCTGTCGATTTTTTTCTACACTTTTAGGTGTATTTTGTGCAAGAATATGCAATAAAATCGTCCGCCTAAGAAAAATTGAATTTTTTTGGAAATTTTTTTTTGGACCTGGATGACTTTTTGGTGAAAATAGAGGTCTTCCTCTACTCGGATTTGGCTGTCGATTTTTTTCTACACTTTTAGGTGTATTTTGTGCAAGAATATGGAATAAAATCGTCCGCCTAAGAAAAATTGAATTTTTTTGGAAATTTTTTTTTGGACCTGGATGACTTTTTGGTGAAAATAGAGGTCTTCCTCTACTCGGATTTGGCTGTCGATTTTTTTCTACACTTTTAGGTGTATTTTGTGCAAGAATATGGAATAAAATCGTCCGCCTAAGAAAAATTGAATTTTTTTGGAAATTTTTTTTTGGACCTGGATGACTTTTTGGTGAAAATAGAGGTCTTCCTCTACTCGGATTTGGCTGTCGATTTTTTTCTACACTTTTAGGTGTATTTTGTGCAAGAATATGCAATAAAATCGTCCGCCTAAGAAAAATTGAATTTTTTTGGAAATTTTTTTTTGGACCTGGATGACTTTTTGGTGAAAATAGAGGTCTTCCTCTACTCGGATTTGGCTGTCGATTTTTTTCTACACTTTTAGGTGTATTTTGTGCAAGAATATGGAATAAAATCGTCCGCCTAAGAAAAATTGAATTTTTTTGGAAATTTTTTTTTGGACCTGGATGACTTTTTGGTGAAAATAGAGGTCTTCCTCTACTCGGATTTGGCTGTCGATTTTTTTCTACACTTTTAGGTGTATTTTGTGCAAGAATATGGAATAAAATCGTCCGCCTAAGAAAAATTGAATTTTTTTGGAAATTTTTTTTTGGACCTGGATGACTTTTTGGTGAAAATAGAGGTCTTCCTCTACTCGGATTTGGCTGTCGATTTTTTTCTACACTTTTAGGTGTATTTTGTGCAAGAATATGGAATAAAATCGTCCGCCTAAGAAAAATTGAATTTTTTTGGAAATTTTTTTTTGGACCTGGATGACTTTTTGGTGAAAATAGAGGTCTTCCTCTACTCGGATTTGGCTGTCGATTTTTTTCTACACTTTTAGGTGTATTTTGTGCAAGAATATGCAATAAAATCGTCCGCCTAAGAAAAATTGAATTTTTTTGGAAATTTTTTTTTGGACCTGGATGACTTTTTGGTGAAAATAGAGGTCTTCCTCTACTCGGATTTGGCTGTCGATTTTTTTCTACACTTTTAGGTGTATTTTGTGCAAGAATATGGAATAAAATCGTCCGCCTAAGAAAAATTGAATTTTTTTGGAAATTTTTTTTTGGACCTGGATGACTTTTTGGTGAAAATAGAGGTCTTCCTCTACTCGGATTTGGCTGTCGATTTTTTTCTACACTTTTAGGTGTATTTTGTGCAAGAATATGGAATAAAATCGTCCGCCTAAGAAAAATTGAATTTTTTTGGAAATTTTTTTTTGGACCTGGATGACTTTTTGGTGAAAATAGAGGTCTTCCTCTACTCGGATTTGGCTGTCGATTTTTTTCTACACTTTTAGGTGTATTTTGTGCAAGAATATGGAATAAAATCGTCCGCCTAAGAAAAATTGAATTTTTTTGGAAATTTTTTTTTGGACCTGGATGACTTTTTGGTGAAAATAGAGGTCTTCCTCTACTCGGATTTGGCTGTCGATTTTTTTCTACACTTTTAGGTGTATTTTGTGCAAGAATATGGAATAAAATCGTCCGCCTAAGAAAAATTGAATTTTTTTGGAAATTTTTTTTTGGACCTGGATGACTTTTTGGTGAAAATAGAGGTCTTCCTCTACTCGGATTTGGCTGTCGATTTTTTTCTACACTTTTAGGTGTATTTTGTGCAAGAATATGGAATAAAATCGTCCGCCTAAGAAAAATTGAATTTTTTTGGAAATTTTTTTTTGGACCTGGATGACTTTTTGGTGAAAATAGAGGTCTTCCTCTACTCGGATTTGGCTGTCGATTTTTTTCTACACTTTTAGGTGTATTTTGTGCAAGAATATGGAATAAAATCGTCCGCCTAAGAAAAATTGAATTTTTTTGGAAATTTTTTTTTGGACCTGGATGACTTTTTGGTGAAAATAGAGGTCTTCCTCTACTCGGATTTGGCTGTCGATTTTTTTCTACACTTTTAGGTGTATTTTGTGCAAGAATATGCAATAAAATCGTCCGCCTAAGAAAAATTGAATTTTTTTGGAATTTTTTTTTGGACCTGGATGACTTTTTGGTGAAAATAGAGGTCTTCCTCTACTCGGATTTGGCTGTCGATTTTTTTCTACACTTTTAGGTGTATTTTGTGCAAGAATATGCAATAAAATCGTCCGCCTAAGAAAAATTGAATTTTTTTGGAAATTTTTTTTTGGACCTGGATGACTTTTTGGTGAAAATAGAGGTCTTCCTCTACTCGGATTTGGCTGTCGATTTTTTTCTACACTTTTAGGTGTATTTTGTGCAAGAATATGGAATAAAATCGTCCGCCTAAGAAAAATTGAATTTTTTTGGAAATTTTTTTTTGGACCTGGATGACTTTTTGGTGAAAATAGAGGTCTTCCTCTACTCGGATTTGGCTGTCGATTTTTTTCTACACTTTTAGGTGTATTTTGTGCAAGAATATGCAATAAAATCGTCCGCCTAAGAAAAATTGAATTTTTTTGGAATTTTTTTTTGGACCTGGATGACTTTTTGGTGAAAATAGAGGTCTTCCTCTACTCGGATTTGGCTGTCGATTTTTTTCTACACTTTTAGGTGTATTTTGTGCAAGAATATGCAATAAAATCGTCCGCCTAAGAAAAATTGAATTTTTTTGGAAATTTTTTTTTGGACCTGGATGACTTTTTGGTGAAAATAGAGGTCTTCCTCTACTCGGATTTGGCTGTCGATTTTTTTCTACACTTTTAGGTGTATTTTGTGCAAGAATATGGAATAAAATCGTCCGCCTAAGAAAAATTGAATTTTTTTGGAAATTTTTTTTTGGACCTGGATGACTTTTTGGTGAAAATAGAGGTCTTCCTCTACTCGGATTTGGCTGTCGATTTTTTTCTACACTTTTAGGTGTATTTTGTGCAAGAATATGCAATAAAATCGTCCGCCTAAGAAAAATTGAATTTTTTTGGAAATTTTTTTTTGGACCTGGATGACTTTTTGGTGAAAATAGAGGTCTTCCTCTACTCGGATTTGGCTGTCGATTTTTTTCTACACTTTTAGGTGTATTTTGTGCAAGAATATGCAATAAAATCGTCCGCCTAAGAAAAATTGAATTTTTTTGGAAATTTTTTTTTGGACCTGGATGACTTTTTGGTGAAAATAGAGGTCTTCCTCTACTCGGATTTGGCTGTCGATTTTTTTCTACACTTTTAGGTGTATTTTGTGCAAGAATATGGAATAAAATCGTCCGCCTAAGAAAAATTGAATTTTTTTGGAAATTTTTTTTTGGACCTGGATGACTTTTTGGTGAAAATAGAGGTCTTCCTCTACTCGGATTTGGCTGTCGATTTTTTTCTACACTTTTAGGTGTATTTTGTGCAAGAATATGGAATAAAATCGTCCGCCTAAGAAAAATTGAATTTTTTTGGAAATTTTTTTTTGGACCTGGATGACTTTTTGGTGAAAATAGAGGTCTTCCTCTACTCGGATTTGGCTGTCGATTTTTTTCTACACTTTTAGGTGTATTTTGTGCAAGAATATGCAATAAAATCGTCCGCCTAAGAAAAATTGAATTTTTTTGGAAATTTTTTTTTGGACCTGGATGACTTTTTGGTGAAAATAGAGGTCTTCCTCTACTCGGATTTGGCTGTCGATTTTTTTCTACACTTTTAGGTGTATTTTGTGCAAGAATATGCAATAAAATCGTCCGCCTAAGAAAAATTGAATTTTTTTGGAAATTTTTTTTTGGACCTGGATGACTTTTTGGTGAAAATAGAGGTCTTCCTCTACTCGGATTTGGCTGTCGATTTTTTTCTACACTTTTAGGTGTATTTTGTGCAAGAATATGGAATAAAATCGTCCGCCTAAGAAAAATTGAATTTTTTTGGAAATTTTTTTTTGGACCTGGATGACTTTTTGGTGAAAATAGAGGTCTTCCTCTACTCGGATTTGGCTGTCGATTTTTTTCTACACTTTTAGGTGTATTTTGTGCAAGAATATGCAATAAAATCGTCCGCCTAAGAAAAATTGAATTTTTTTGGAATTTTTTTTTGGACCTGGATGACTTTTTGGTGAAAATAGAGGTCTTCCTCTACTCGGATTTGGCTGTCGATTTTTTTCTACACTTTTAGGTGTATTTTGTGCAAGAATATGCAATAAAATCGTCCGCCTAAGAAAAATTGAATTTTTTTGGAAATTTTTTTTTGGACCTGGATGACTTTTTGGTGAAAATAGAGGTCTTCCTCTACTCGGATTTGGCTGTCGATTTTTTTCTACACTTTTAGGTGTATTTTGTGCAAGAATATGGAATAAAATCGTCCGCCTAAGAAAAATTGAATTTTTTTGGAAATTTTTTTTTGGACCTGGATGACTTTTTGGTGAAAATAGAGGTCTTCCTCTACTCGGATTTGGCTGTCGATTTTTTTCTACACTTTTAGGTGTATTTTGTGCAAGAATATGCAATAAAATCGTCCGCCTAAGAAAAATTGAATTTTTTTGGAAATTTTTTTTTGGACCTGGATGACTTTTTGGTGAAAATAGAGGTCTTCCTCTACTCGGATTTGGCTGTCGATTTTTTTCTACACTTTTAGGTGTATTTTGTGCAAGAATATGCAATAAAATCGTCCGCCTAAGA